GCTTTTTGAATCATGATCGAGGGTACGAAATAAACTTGATGCTAACGGTTTACTATTAGCGTGTTTCATCATATGCATCGTAGCATCATTAGGATTCAAGGTATTAGCTGATACGATCATCACTAATTCACCAAAAAACGATTAAAATTTTTTTAAGGGTTCGTCTTCTCGTTTAACGCAAAGGGATAGCTCGTAGGGCGGGGAAAATTCCGAACAATATTTGATGGGTGATACTAAGATATTGAAAAATAGTATAAATTGAGCAATTTGGATAGTCAAGACCAGTAAAGTGTAACGTAGCCCAAATTTTATCTTACAATCCTTACAGTCATAATGTATTCATTGTGAACAGTGCATGACTTTGCTTGTTGTTCATCTGAAAATTTAATAAAAGGTAGCTCACTGATAAAAGATAACTCTGACGTTGGCAGACGATAATATCAGTAAAGATCAATTCGTGATTCAACTTTATACCCTTATCCATGTAAAAACCGACATTCGAGTAACAGTGACATTTTAGCTGGCGTTTCAACGCGCCTGTATTCGGCCAAACTCATGGATGTGCCGCAGTTCTCAAATACTACGGTCTGTTCAGATTATCACTTAACTATTCTGAAGCAAGGAAACTGGCGTGGACTCAAGCCCAAATGATTATCAACTGACTTTAAACGGCAGTCTAGCTTGCAGCTGCACGAGCAATTCAGCGGTTGATCAGGATATAAATTTTAAACAACAAAATGGACTTATAACACCAAAGATCGCGTATTAACAGAGAACAAAACAACAAAACTTAACAACAAAACAACTAAAGGTTTGCATAGAAAACTGTGCGAATCGCAGAAAATTACGACGATGAATAGCATGGCTATGCGCTCACAGTGAAGGAAACATGAAAATCAGTCTTAAAATCAATCTCACGGAAACAAGTATTTGACTATTTGACAACGGAATTTTCGCACGAGGATGAAGTATCCATTAAAAACGATAGGATTAAGATCGTCATTATCAGCCATTAAGCATAAGATATAAAAACAACATGCTGAATGACTTGAGGGGGGGGG